CGTGGGCAGGGCTCTCCCCACACCCCCACTCAGTGGGTCAGTGCCCCCAGTGCCCCCCACTGTGGGTCAGGATGTCCCCCCTGTGTCCCCACCGTGGTCATGGTGTCCCCATGTCCTCCCTTCAATGGGTCAGGGTGTCCCCATGTCCCCCCTCAGTGGGTCAATATGTCCCCATGTCTCCCCTTCAATGGGTCAGGGTGCCCCATATCCTCCCTTCAATGGGTCAGGGTGTCCCCATGTCCTCCCTTCAATGGGTCAGGGTGTCCCCATGTCCTCCCTTCAATGGGTCAGGGTGTCCCATGTCCTCCCCCAGTGGGTCAGCACGACCCCATGTCCTCGCCCTGCCCGTGCAGAGCCCTTTTGGGGGGCACACTCCACACCCGTGGGGGCTGTGCCCTGCCCACCCCTACTTGCTTCTGTCCCCCCCAGGTGTGCTGCCCCTCTGCCACGGGCCACCAGCATGGGGCAGGGCCTCCTGGCAGCTCCACAGCCTCCTGCTCACCCCGTCCCGTGCCTTCAGCAACAACAAGATCCTGGTGGAGCTGGACGAGAGCAAAGGTAGGGTGGGTGGCACCTCTGCAGCCTTCCCTGCATCCTACAGGGCCTTGTGGGGGGCATGCAGGGGGGTCTCTCCCATCCCTGCCCCACAGCACACGTGGCCCTGGGTGTGGGAAGCCACCCAAGTCCACATGTTCCAGCTTCAGCTGCTTAGGACCCTTGGAGAGGAGCATTTGGGGACCAGAGTCTCACCAGTGGTGGGTGCTGCTTGGGTGCTCCAGGCAAACCCAAGCTGTCCCCACGGGCAGACCTTGTGCCCTGTCCCCTCTGTGGGGTCCCTGCTGTGGGGAGCTGGCAGAGTGGCAGGAGCTCCTTCAGGGAGCAGCTGTTGGCTCTGTGTGCCCTGGCTGCCAGGAACAGCTGCCACGGGGCCATGTCCCCACACTACACATAAGGTGCTACTTCTCGAGGCTTCCCAGGGCCTGCCCAGCCCTCTGGGTACGTCCTCACTCAGTTCCCAGCCTGGGCACAGCTGCAGCACACAGGCTGGGCACTCAGTGGGGACCTTCTGGGGCTGGGAACTGCTGCTTGGAGCCCTTCCCGTGGTGCTGGCTGGGGTGGCAGTGCTGCCAGCAGGCTCAGAAAGGTGTGTGACCCCCTGGACGTGGGGCGTTTGCTGTGAGGCTCAGTCTGATCCACGAGCCCAGACAGAAGGGACCTGCCAGGCAGTGTGACCCCCAAGGTGTTGGGGATACACAAGGTGGCCCCTGCACACCTGCTGGTTCATGCACTGGCTGAGCAAGCCTGGCTTGTGGGCAGGTTTGGGCAAAAGTAGGGTCCTGGCTTGACCCCCCAGCTCTGGGGGCTTTTTGAAGGGCCAGAGTGGAAAGACAGAGTCTGGGGTGAGCAGGGGAGCGGGCAAAGCTCCCTTGGGCAGGGCAGCACCAGCCCCTGTGCTGGGGGGTCCTGATATCTCTGTGTTTATCATGGCACAGGTGTTGCCACCATGAAGTTCAAGAGCCCCCCAGTCAACAGCCTCAGCCTGGACTTCCTCACAGAGTTTTGCATAAGCCTGGAGAAGCTGGAGAACAACCGGGCCTGCCGGGGTGTGATCTTGACATCTGTACGTGTTGTCCTGGGCTCAGGGTGTCACCTGTGGGGCCATGTGGCAGGCATGGGTGCTGTTCCCTTCCTGCTGTTTGCCCTCCTGGCACTGGAGGGCTGGGAAACATCTTTGATCAGCTCTGGAAGAAGGGGAGAGGGTTCTTGGAAAGACTGTGCTTTTTCTTCTCTGTCCTTTACTAGCAGAAGAACAACTGGATGTTATGATCTGTCACTAGAATCAAAGCTGCATATCTGCAGACTTGACACATCATCCCTTGAGACCTCCTGAGCTGCCCAGAGGCAGCTGCTTGGGGCTGCCAGTGTTGTTTTCAGATGTGATGTGGGTACGAGGTGGTGCCAGGGAGCAGGACAGGGCAGGTTTTGTGCCGCGTGGCTGATGTGCCCACACAGGGACCCTGATAATGAGAAATCATGTGGCAAGCAGAGTCCCAGCCCTGCATGCCATGGTGATGGGATGATCCAGGCTGTGGGAGCACTGGGGAGATTATTTCAGAACCCCAAAACACCCTGGTTTATGTCATATTCAACAATCACTTTCCCTTTCCCTGGGCTGCCAGGCCGGGCATGTTAGAGGGCTAAAGGCTGATCCCTGGGCAGTGACTCCCAGTGATGTTTGTGTTTTCCCAATTCTAGGATATTCCCAAGATCTTCTCATCCGGCCTGGACATCACAGAGATGTGTGGGAAGAGCACAGAGCACTATGCAGAGTTCTGGAGAGCTGTGCAGGAGATGTGGCTCCGGCTGTACAGCTCCAACATGGTGACAGTCGCTGCAGTCAATGTATGTCCCTTAGAGCCACCCCCCTTTAGAACCACCCCCCTTAGTGTCACCCCCCTTAGAGTCACCCCCCCTTAGAGCCACCTCCCTTAGAGCCACCTCCTTCCTTGCTCCCCAGGGTCTGTCACTTGCTGTGGCTTGTTTGTACTGCATGGGCAGGGACAATCAAACCAGGCTTGGTGGTGGTGGAACAAATAGAGGGATGTCCTTGTTGGGGTGTCATGGGCAAAGGCTGTGGTGGGTCGGGGTGTTGGAGGGTGGCAGGGAATGGGAGGGTGGGATGGGGCAGGTTCCACGTAAGCTGGAGCTGTGGTGGAGACCCTGCGTGGTGCTCCCGTCCTGCCCAGGGGTCTGGGGTGCCCGTGGCTGTGCCTTGTGCAGCATGAGCCGTGTCCTGCCCTGGGAGGGAGGCTGTGCTGCTGCCTGGGGGAGCAGGAGGGCAGCAGGGCAGAGGGGAAGCAGCAGGGCAGCAGGACAGAGGGGGAGCAGCAGGGCAGTGAGGAGCAGGAGGGCCATCCCTGCCCGGCAGGTGCCGGCGGAGCCGAGCGGCTGGTGCAGGACACAGGAGCAGCCCTGTCCTGTGCCCACCAGCTGCTTCCCATGGGTGGGACTCCTGGGAGTTGCCCAGGGTCATTGCTTGGCCTCTGCAGCAGAGGGGAGGGCATGGCAGGCAGCCCTGCAGTGCTGCAAGGGCCTGTCCTCAGCCCCGCGGGCAGCAAAGCTCCAGCGCCAGGCAGTGCCCCTTGGCTTAAGCCCTTTTCTTCATTGAGTTTTGCTCCTCCAGACGTGGATTTTTTGGCCAGCAGGGATGTGCTGCCTGATTGTCAGTGTCTGTAGATGAGCTGTTACCTGCTGGGTGTCTTGTTTGTGTTTTGAAGTGCAGTGCAGTGCTGCTTTGGCAGCTCACAGCTCTGTGTCTGTCCATGGGTTGTCTCTGAAGGCAGCTCCATCTCTGAACTGCCCACAGGCATCCTGTGCAGGGCTGAGCAAGCACCAAGTCCCAGCAAAGACAGCCTCAAGTGGAAGTTTTAGAGACTGAAAGGGTTACACAGCCCCTGAAAAGAACCGTTTCTGTGGCATTTGGGGTCACAAACTGAAGCAGGGTTAAAGACTTCTGTGGCATTACAAGGAAGTGCCACAGCAGCTCTGAGCTGCAGGGTGTGCAACCCCAGCAACACGGATCAGATAACTAGGTTTCCAGGCTGCAAAATGCAAGAAACAAAGAGCATTGAGAAATGAAAGGATAAACTCTGGGGAACATCTGAGAAAGTCTTTGTTAGTGGCTCTTCTGCTCTGTCCTTGGCAGCTCTGTCACCCTGTGTCTTGCCTGCTCTGGAGGACACGGTGAGCCTGGGGGTGCAGGGACGTCTGTAACCAGCACAGAGGGTTGACCTAGACTCTCTCTCCTCCCTTCTTTTTCAGGGGTCCAGCCCAGCAGGAGGTTGTCTCATGGCCCTGTCGTGTGACTACAGGATCATGGTGGAGAACCCCAAGTTCAGCATCGGCCTGAATGAAGCCCAGCTGGGCATTGTGGCTCCCTTCTGGTAGGGCAGTGCCTCCCACTTCTAGTGTCATGGGTGGGTCTCTCAAAACAATGGATCTGCTGCTGGGTGTTTTCTTTCCCTGACTCTGGCTTTTCCTCCCATCTCTCCTAGGTTTAAGGACACATTTGTGAATGTTGTGGGACACCGAGTTGCTGAGCTCTCCCTGCAGTTGGGGTCCCTCTACCCTGCACCCCAGGCCCACAGGATAGGGCTGGTGGATGAGCTGGTGCCAGAGGAGAAGCTCCAGGAGAAGGTTGCAGCTGTTATGGCTCAGTGGCTGGCCCTTCCTGGTAAGGGGCTCCAGGAAAGCTGGGGAGGG